TCACCATTCTAGTTGTACTCAGCACTAAAGGCCTAATGTCTTATTGCCTGCTGCAATCCACAGTGATGCTGACATAATAGTTGCTTTTTGCAAATGAGCAGCCTGTTTTATCAGCTCAGCGGGACCAGCTGCATGTGCACGTTCCATTTGCTCAAACCCTTAGCCCAGGGTGGATGCTACCTGGCCAACCTAAAGCTGAATCTGTGAAGACACTGCATAAACCTAAGGTGCAATAACACACACATCCATCCACAGCTGTGCCCTGCCTGTCCTAATCACATAATCTAAGATTCAGATGCAGACAAAAACACAATCTTCGTGTTATTTACAATTTGCCAGTTTGTGCCATTAATAGAAACATTTGAGTTATTAAATGCTCTTAGATGTTAGTCTCTGTAGGGAACAGACTCCAAGTTGGTTTTAAACAAACGTGTTTTCAGGCACTGAAGCAGGAAAGAGAAATGTCTGAAAGAAGATTTGAAATAGTTTGTACAGACTTGAGACGGATCCGGTGGGATCAGAGCACTGTGTGAATGCAGGTGTTTCACAGTGAGATAGAGCAGTATCACAGACAAATAGTCCTAATAACACACCAGGCATGGCTGACTAGTTTCTTTAATGAAACCAGTAACACACCAGGCATGGCTGACTAGTTTCATTAAAGAAACCAGTCAATATGTAAATAAGCCTCCACCATCTACAGTAAGAACACAAAGATTAACAATACCACCAATGAAAGGTGTGATAAATGTGTTATCTTTGGCGTCTTTGTCATTAAACTAGGTAACATTTCCTTGTTCCGCATGAGGAGCAGTCAAACAGGTTAGACACTCAAAGGACTCACCCATGGTTAAAAAGGATTGTTACACATTTTCATTTATAAAAGCCAATAAACCATTCACTTAAGACAATGTCGTCCATGTAACGTCTCCCTCTGGACTGAACAGAGAAGCAGTGGCTGAGGTTTCACTGATGTTTGCCATCGTGGATGTTTTTGACCTCAGGACCAAGAGAGAAGTTCACCAGCACCGCCAGTCTGTGTGGTGACTTATCTGATGAAAGACTGTTCACAAATATTGTCCAAGAAGGACTTTTCAACTGTAAGCCACCACACCCCCGTCTGTTACTGCTACTCTAACACTTGTATAGCAGAAAAAACCTTTAAACCCGTAACCTTTGGGCAGTACTCTAACACTTGTATAGCAGAAAAAACTTTTAAACCCATAACCTTTGGGCAGTGTGTGTTAAAACCATATCTCCTACACAGGTGTAAACCTGCTCAGATTAAAGCTGAGATTTGACAATTTACTGTAGTTTATTTCAAAATTTCTAAGCTGAGATTTGACAATTTACTGTAGTAAATTTCAAATTGAATGTGCTAAATCATGGAACCAGCAGAAATATTTATTGAAATTTAGTTTTATTTACAAATGTACAGAACATTACAAAAGCTACAAATCTTCTCTTTAACATATAAACAGTGACAGATACACACATTTGATTAGAATCACACTCAGTTCTTCTCGACACCCTCTGGCATCATTTACACTCAGAGAAGATAGAAAAGTGATCTGTGGCTACTTCACAACAAAGTAAAAAGTGCTGCAATGACAGCAGCAGTAAATATGTACAAATAAAATACGTTCTTCTCGTTTTCTCTGTATTTAGTCAGATCAGCTGTGTGTCAACATTTCCTGGTCGTCTGATTCCAAACAAAAGTCCAGTTCTCTTTGTTATAATACAGTCCATTATGTCTGAGAGATGACGTCATGATGTGACTATATCATATTGAAGCGATGATGCATGGGTTTTGGGTAAGCGTAGGTGTTTGTGTGCCAGCTGCTGGGAATATGCATCATTTCCTCTTCATCACTGGATGTAGCGAGGTCATCCTCTGAGCTACTGTTCCTCGTGTTGTCTCTGCTCTGGCCTTGGCTTCTCACGTGGCAGAGGATGCACACCCTCTGCTGCTTGGTGGGGTGAATGTGGTCTATCACTTCTCGCTGCTTGGAGCATGAATTACAGACCAAAAAGCCACATTTTCGGCAGTGATGTCGACGCCTGGTTGTAGTGAACTTGTCGAGACACCGCATGCATTTGTAGGCAGCCTGGTCTGGAATCCAGGAAACAGCAAAGTTGGAGCCAGGTTGGCAGCTGCTGCCTTGCAACCAGCTGGACCGGCACTCTTGGATGTGGTTCATCCAGGCCTGCTTCTCCTCGTACGAAGGGGCAGACACAAGAAAGGATTTGCGTGGTGTGCGGATCAGCCACTGGTTCATCAGTACACCATCCTCCATGTCCTCCAGCTGGATGTCCTCTGAAATGACAGTTGGATGGCATGTTGACAACAATGCAGGAAAGATATTGACACCAAAAGATGGTTAAGCTTTTGTGCTTTTCTACCTCTGATTCATATACAAACAGTAACCTGGCAGGTGCCATAGGATCATTTCAGCCATTCAGAACTTTTCAGGAGTGACATAAGCACAACTTAGCATTGAAAGCCATTGTAGAAATCCTTAGAAACTACTGCACCTCCAAAGTTCCAGCTCAGTGGAGGTGAATGGGTGAATGGAATTTAATCACATGCTCAGAGCTTGGAAATATTACATTTAACAATAGCATTTCCAGAAACAATGTCCTGGTCAACTGGGCCTCAGTGTGGACACTTTAGTTAGAACAATTATTGCCCTTCTTTGTAGCCATAGATTTCATTGTTTTGTGCAGCATTATGTCTGACTGGATCAGAGTTCTGGTTAGCTAAAGACGAGTTGCTCAATAACGCAGCCTTTGAAGCCCCATGGAACGTTGTACAGCCGAGATGCTTGTGTTAAGAATATAAACATATTGCTGTACACAAGTCTTAAATATCCCAGCTATCCCTGGCATGGGATAGCCAGGTATGACCACCTGCTGCTACATGTGCAAACATATATAGATGGTATAATCCTGACCTCATGTTAAGCAAAATCACTAACCCAGAGGGATGATCTTCTGTTTCTTGTACCAGTGGCCGTTCAGAATGACACTGCCGTACACCAGCACATCGTTGAAGAGGAAGAAGGCCTTCGGCTGACGCTTCTTGCGACCTTGCTTATACAGACGGCCCTCTCCCACCAGAACCCGGCCCAGCTTGGACAGGGGCCTTCCCGATGGGCCGAATGAGTTCTCCACGGCCTGGATACGCTCACGGTTCTCCCTCTCAAATGTCAGCTGGTTCATCCTGGTGGCCTGATAACTGTGGCAATAACAAGGTGCCAGATGCACCTGCGGTATTTGAAGTGACTGGTGACGTAATGGAGCTTTCCCAGTTTAGACTGGAAGACAAACCTGTTCTACAAGAACTGACAAAAAGGGGGGAGGTGCGTGCTGCACGCTGAGCTATATTCATCTTATATTAGTAACTGAATTTATTTAACAGATGCAGTTACTGGTTGAATGTCCAGAGTAGGAATGTACAGACAAAGCATCAGTTGATCAGCATATAGA